CTGTACATGTACCCTGAATACACAAGTTGAAATGAATTTTTTTTTCAATGGGCTATTTCACCAAAAAAAAAAAAAAGGAGATTTCCAGTATCTCTTGAAAGATCTGAAGACATGGCAATACTGGGCCTATATTCCTGCATGGCAGCAGCTGGGTAGAGCAGAGAATCTACTGCCTCCATAAGAAACACTCTTCAATTGATCAATTATTCAAGTAAGTTCAAGTAAACCCTTCATTAGCCTCTTCTGCCCTTCCATGCTACTAACAGCAAGTAGAGAGGATAGCTCTTTCCTTTCTAAAACATGTGTTGCATGTATTTGATGTGTGTCATCTTCCCTTCCTGCCTGACTGTAGTAAACCTCCTGCAGGCAGGACCCTTGTCTCCTGTCTTTGGATCTTTAGTGCCTACTGCAGTGCTTAGCACACAGCAAATAAACAATGAATACTTGAGAAATAAGTCAATGACTCATTGATTTTCTCTGGGAAAAGAGAATATCTGCAAAGAACACTGGACAAAAAGAACAAATACTTTATGTTCTGAATTATGTACTCACCTATGCATAAAGAAATAAGGGCTAGTACACAAAACACATTAACTCAAAACATTCTTATTGCTACATGATGTACTTTCCCTTTAAACTTAGAGGAATTTTTTTTTAAACTATAATTTCTAAAATGAGACTCAGTTTAGACATTAATATTAGGGAGACTTACATTTAAAAATATGATCACTAAGTTGAAAAAGGTTTAATTGTTTATCTAATTAACATATACTTTTTTCTTAACTCATATTTTGGCATTGTCTAGTATACCCAGATGTTTTTATCATCACAATTTTTTAACCATTTATGGCAATTCAGAATACTGCATCTGGTACTTCTTATATGTTTCCTCTAAAATCACCAGTTCTGCCAAAAACATCTATAAAGAAATCCCTCAAAAGGTTTGGGTAACAAAACGTCTGGGAATGTATTTGGCTTCTGTTCAACGGGACATTATATGTTTTCTTGTATAAATCATGTCCTGGAAAAACGGAATGTCCGTATTTAAAATAAAAACTTTACCATCCAGCACCGTAAAGGTAGTTCCATGAAAAACATTTTAAGCTTCATTTATATCTGTAGTTTCAAAACATGATTTTATCCTTCATATTATAGTAAGTTTAACTGGGACTATTTTATACATTCTTCTAGATTTTCTTTTTAAAAAATGGTCTAAGGAAATTTTCCATTCTCAACTCATAGCAGACTTTTAAAAGCAGTCATTAAATCTTCTTTTTTTTTTAAAAAAAAAATCGGCCAGGCACGGTGGCTCACACCTGTAATCCCAGCACTCTGGGAGGCCAGGGCGGGTGGATCACCTGGGGTCAGGAGTTTGAGACCAGCCTGGCCAACACGGTGAAACCCCGTCTGCTAAAAATAAAAAAAGAAATTAGCTGGGCATAGTAGTGGATGCCTGTAATTCCAGCTACTCGGGGCCTAAGGCAGGAAAATCTCTTGAACCGGGAGGTGGAGGTTGCAGTGAGCCGAGATCACACCACTGCACTCCAGCCTGGGAAACAAGGGCAAAACTCCATATCAAAAAAAACAAAAAACAAAAAAAATGTCATGTCACCCTTGCAGATACAGGTATAAACTAGCAGACACAACAAAAGATCTTTAGATCTTTGTACTGCTTATGAAAACTCACTTTTCTTCCCACACTGTAAAATTCACCACCCTTCTGAATCACAGTTATCAAAACAACAACTATCTTGTGCTATTTCAATTTATCCAATCATTTTCTTTCTTTCTTTTTTTTTTGAGATCAAGTCTCACTGTCTTGCCCACGCTGGAGCACAGTGGTGTGATCTCAACTCAGTGCAACCTCCACTTCCTGGGATCAGGTGATTCTTGTGGCTCAGCCTCCTGAGTAGCTGGGATTACAGGCATGAGCTACCATATCTGGCTAATTTTTGTAATTTTAGTAGAGACAGGGTTTCACCATGTCGGCCAGGCTGGTCTAGAACTCCTGACCTCAGGTGATCCACTCGCCTCAGCCTCCCAAAGTGCTGGGAGTACAGGCGTGAGCCACCACGCTCAACCAAATCATTTTCATTTAAGCAGGAATTTATGGCAAGGATGATGGTAGAGAACGACATGGAAAGGAAAAATGTCAAATCTTACCATAAATATCACAACACAACACATATTAATGGTTCAGTCACAGGTGTATATTTTCTCATCAGTAATAATTCCATAGAAATTCTGAACTCATCAGCTCCGAATAGTTAATGGAAAACACTGTCATATGTGCTTCATAGGCCCCTATACCGAGTTTGGATATGGGATGGCATGCGAAGTCAGTCTTTGGAACCGTATTGAAGAACACTTTCAGGTAAAATGCTGAAAGAATAATTTCTAAAAGGAAGGATAGCAATAATTCTTTTACCAGCCAACATTATCTATTAAACTCCAGTACTCTTAGGATCTTAGGATTTATTTTCATTGTTACTTTCCCAGGAAGAGGGATAGAGGGGGAGGGAGACAGGGAGAAAGATTTAAACAGTTCCTACTACTGGTTTAAGTCTTTACTCAAGTTCCTTTTCTCCATGGAATGCTGCCTGACCCTTCACGGAATTCTGGAGGAACTAAATATGCACTGTCTTATGATCACTGTTGTTCACCACTGTCTTAAATTACTAATCTATGGCGTATCTACAGTATGTGTCATTTCCTTAGCTAAACTCCTTGGAAAGGGATACTATCTAGCATCTCATACAAGCACCTAACAGGAAGCCAAGCAGTTGGTTCTCATTAAATACTTAGTGTCTGATAAGCATGTGTCTTCATACTTTTCACACAAGGCCTGAAAATACTCTTAATTCATAACCACAGTTGCATATACATACTCTAAGAAATGACTGAAAGTATCAACAGTCTACTCTTTCAATATTGGCATTGTTTGCAACAGCTTTCTTTTTCATATGCTTGACTAGACCGAATCATCTCATCTCTGGTAGCAATGACATAATCAACCATTTTGAATAAAATACTTTTAAAAGTGAGTTTCCTAATATTGTTTAAATGTTGAAACGGTATATCAACTAATCATTAGTCTACAGATGCTTAGAAGTAAAACAATACTTTGTCTTTACAATTCAAGTCTCCGTGTACTTTCTTCCAACAAAAGCCAATCTGTCTTTTTCAAAATTGTTTCTCCTGGCAAATATTTTTGCTGTCTGGCCAAGTTTTGTGTTAAAAATAAAGTACAGTATTACAACATCAATCTACATTTAAAGTACTTAATGATCTAGGAGAGAAAATATACAGCGATTCTTTTGAAACAAGTAAACAATCAAAGTTGCATTTGTATTTAGAGACATAAAAGTGATATTAAAGCACTTAGGTAATATGAGAAAACAGATTAAGAAGAGCTGAAAATGGCAAGAATGACTTAGAGACATAACAGAACCAACTGTCTCTTTACACCTCGTCCTGTCTGTGCAACACTGGCTTCTTGCCTGCCCTTTCAAATACCAGTTGTACAAGCATAATCAGAGCTTTCTCTGTAACTAATACTGATTCCACAAAATGAGTCCAAAGTTCCTATACATTCACAATGATTAATATTCTTTACATAAAAGAAACCTAGGCCACCTAAGCCTTATCATCTATAATCAAGAACATCTGAAAATATTCTACTAGTGGGAGCTTAAATGAGAGCCTCAACAAGTACTAAATACAGGTTGAGTATCCCTTATCCAAAATGCCTGGAACCAGAAGTGTTTCCGATTTTGGATTTCTCAGACTTCGGAATGTCTATATTATAGTACTACCAGCGGAGCATCCCTAATCCAAAAATCCAAAACCCAAAATGCTCCAGTAACCATTTCCTTTGAGCATCATGTCAGCATTCGAAAAGGTTTAAGACTTTGGAGCATTTCAGACTTTGGATTAGGGATGCTCAACCTGTACTTCAAGAACTCTGATAATATTTATTCACTACAATAAATCATAGAATTTTACATTTAGCATCAAGTATTGGGAATGACTCAGATAGGTGTCTAAAAGAGGATGCTGCCTTATATATTATACTAGCATAACATATAGCACTGAGTTGCCACAACCCAATGAGTTGGTTCACAATACTGCTGTTTCACCTCCATTAGTTTAGCCCAACCCTAAGATACCAATTCCCAGTGTGCCTCTTCTCAGTTGCCCTACGACTTCCAGTTAATGCTGTAGTTGCACTGGCCTTCAATCTAACTAGACTGTTTTCTAAATAAACACTGCCTCTTGGTAAAGGCAGCCATTTCAACATTTAGGACACAATACAGAAGATGCTACCATATTTTCAGAGGAAATTGGAGATTAAGGAACAAAATACAAGTAAGACTATAACCACTTTCCTGATAGGACTACAATAACATAGAAAGATCATGAACTACAGTAATAGGTAAAAAGACTGGAGTTCAAATCTCACCTCATCAATCCAGAAAATGGAAGTAATATCATCTATTTTAGAGACACTTATAAGAAGTAAATGATGAGAAAACTAAATACATAAATGTTATGTCAAATGTCTGTAACAGACACTCAACATATAATTGTTTCCTTGTTGCCCATTTCCAGGCCCTCGACTAGATCTAGAGATCCTAGGCTGGCCAAGTCTTACAAGGTAGAAGACTTTTGGTTGGGCAGTAACTTTCCTCAGAATCAAATCATTTTGAGGACAATTACTTACTATCTATCTTATTTTTCTTCTTTGTATTCCTAAAAATCTCCCCTCTCTGGTCTCCTGCTAGATTTAGGCCAACTTACTCTGGCTTGTTCTTTGATGTCCATGCTTCAGTGGCTCCTGTCTGCTTGCCTCCCTAGTATCTAAGTCACTGCTTCTGTTGTTGACAGTTCCTCTGATGTACCATCTCCTTCTATTTTTGCTTATTTCTAAGTTCATGTTAGGTGGTATGTATTTCTTAATTACATGCCTTGTTACTATTGTGCCTAACCTAGACATCTAGAGTTGATGCATTCTAGGCTCTGTTATCACCTTTCCAATAACCTTGAATCATTACCTACTAAATGCAGCCCTAGAATAGTTTTGACTTCCTGGTTGCCTCTAACTTAGAGGTGAAATGAGGATATACCATCTTTGTCAGCTATTGGATTCAACAAAGCCCTGTAAGCCACCTGATCATTGAACCAATTAATAATCCTAAGCATATGACACACCTTAGGGAATTGACAGGGCATACAAGACACCTCATAAACGTCAAAAAACACATGATGCACCTGTGGTAAAACACCATCTACAATCATAAAAATCTAGTTATACCTAGACATTCATTCCATAGAAAGTTACTCCTTTACTTGAGAATTCTGCCCTAACAGATTGGATGGCTTTAGGCAGCATTCACATGAACTGATAAGGGAGAAATCACATCCATAAAAAGTCAAATCAGTCCAATCAAGCCCTCTGATGGTCAACAGGGTGACGGCCAACACAATGGCATTGCCTCAACATCCAGGAAAACTAACTGGACAGCCAGGGCCAACTTAAAGACTATGGCTTCACTAGGACCATACTTAAATTGAAGCAAATCAGTAAGGGAAGATGCAAATGGAAGTCACACATCAATGAAGTTGGTCTCACTCAACTGTGCCAATTTACGGCCGAAGACTACATTTGATTCTATATCAGTATTGTAGTGAGGGAAAAAATGAAAAGAAGAAAAGCCTACTTTGTTTTTTAAGTTCTTCGATTTGTTCTTCTTTTAGATCTAACTGTTCTGTAAGTCTTGATGCTGAATCCAATGCAGCATTTGCTTCATCCAAACGTTCCTGAGAAAATAAACTTTATTAAAAAGTATGCAAAAATTATTTCACAAACTCTAAGACTTGGAGACATTTTAGAGTCAACCTTTACATTTCGGCTGGTGAAGCTGCACCTCTATGGCCTTAGGCAAATTCATCCAACTAAGAAGTGTCAAAGGCAGAACCCACATTCTTTTCAATACAATACTGCCTCATTTAGAGGAACTAAATAAAAAGAGCAGATGCCACTAAAAGACGACATGATGACAGAAGTTAAAAAAAAAAAAAGGAAAAAAAAAAAAAACCCCAAAAAAAACAAAAAGTCCAGAAATATAGCAACGAATGCTCTTACTTTTTAATTTTTGAAAGTCTAATAAAGCAATGCTTGATTATGACTTTGTTACTTTAAATTTTATTTCCCTGACCACTACTAGTGAATTTGACCACTACTTTTCATGTTTACAGGGCAAGTTGGATCTGCCCTTCTGTGAAAACCTCTTTGCATACATTGCCCAAGTTTCTACTGAGCTGTATTTCTCTTGTCCATCTGTAAGAGCACCTTGTATAGTAGATAAGAAACTTTTTAACCTATGCTATGCAAATAGTTACCATATCTGCCATCTGTCTACTGACTCTACAATATCTTTTGCCATGTAAGCATTTTACATTGTATATAATCAAACGTTCTACTTTGCTTTTACAGCTTCTTAAGTCTTGGTCTTTGTTAGGATCCTCCTTGCCCTTAGAATGTACATGTTGTCTTCCAGATTTTATTACAAGATATTTTGTAATATAATTAAATCTTTAACACGGTGTTTCTTAATGGGAGTGGCTTTGACATTCCTTGCCCACTAAATGCCAGGTGAGACATCTATCCCCAGATAATCAACACCACTCCCAGTTGAGAGTCCCTGCTTTAATAAACCTAGACATGACTTTTGTTCATTATGGGAGGTGGGGTCTATTTTTTCTTTTCCTTTGTTCCTCATGGACAGCTGGTTGTGTCAACATCATTAATTAGATAAGCTATCCTTTTTCTCATTAAATTAATTTAAGATTTAGTTTCAACTTCTCAAATATATCCTGGGCTCTATTTCTGGATTCTCCTTAATCCACAAATCTAGTTAATATTGTATCGATTTATGACTCTATCATGGTATGTAGTAGGCAGGTCTCTCCTCACTGTATTATTTCTCATAATTTTTTTGGCTATTCTCAAGTATTCTCCTATGTAAATTTCAAGTCAAGTTTTGTCATCTTCAGTCAGTGTGACAGCCTTTTTAATGTGTTATCTTGGATAGGTCACAGTCCCCAGTTATTCAATCAAACATAATCTAGATGTTGCTGTGAAGGTATTTTGCAAATGTAATCAAAGTCCTTAATCAATTGAATTTAAGAAAGGCATGTTATTCTGGATAATTTAGGTGGGCCTGATTGAATCAGTTTTAAAGTTCTTAGAAACCAGGGCTTAGGCTTCCCCCAAAAGAGAAGAAATTCCCTCTTTGAGCCACAGTTTCCACCTGTGCCTATGGAGTTCCACACTGCTTGTGACTTTCCTTTCCTGGCTGCCTGTGGACAACAGCTTTGGCCCATGCCTGTTGAGTTCCAGCCTGCCTTTGATGTGGTCTTCCCATCCTGACAGCCAACCTACGAATTTCAGACCCTACAATCATGTAGCCAATTCCTTGTAATAAATTGCATATGTGTATCCATATATATCACACATATAAATTTGACACATATACATCCACACCCTACTGATTTTGCCTTTAGGGACTGAACTCTGATTGATATATAGAGGGACTGAAATTAAACAATTTAAATAAAATATTTGCTATTCAAAAATCCACAAAACTAAATTTAGTGTGGAGGAAATTTAAACTTTCAAATGATGTTTTTAACCCCACAGCATTTGTACTTACAAAGTTATTAAGGCTTAAATCTACACTTAGACTTTTCCAAAATTAGCATTTAGATTTTGCTATTCTACCAATAGTTTGGTTTTTATTTCATTAATTACAGCTTTTATTTTTATTAATTCTTTTCATTTATCTTGTTCTTCTTTTAAATGTGTATTACATTTTACATTTAAAAAACTAAAACCAGTTTTAAAAGAAGATTTGGCTGGGTGCTGTGACACATGCCTAGAGTCCCAGCTAGTCAAGAGGGATGAGGCAGGAGGACTGCTTGAGCCCAGAATGCAAGGCTGTAGTGTGCTATTATGATTACATTTGTGAAGAGCTACTGCATTCCAGCCCAAGAAATATAGCAAGATTTCATCTCTAATTAAAATGAGAAAAACATGCCAGGAATAGAGGCTCTCGCCTGTAATTCCAACATTTTGGGAGGCCAAGACAGGAGGACTGTTTGAGCCCAGGAGCTTGAGACCAGCCTGAACAACAAAGCAAGAACCTGTCTCTAAGAAAAAAGAGAAGAAGATCTGGAATTCCATTCTAGCAGTTCCACAGACTGTATACTCTGGATCCACTAGAAACTACTATTTGGATAAAATGCATCTTTTTAAATGTATTAATGAGATAACAAGAAAGTAAGTATAAATGGTCAATACAAAAGATGCTTGGCCAACTTGGTGAAACCCCATCTCTACTAAAAATACAAAAATTAGCTTGGGAGTGGTGGCACACACCTGTAGTCCCAGCTACTTGGCAGGCTAAGGCAAGAGAATTGCTTGAACCCAGGAGGCGGAAGTTGCAGTGAGCCAAGATCGCACCACTACACTCCAGCCAGGCAACAGTGTGAGAGACTGTCTCAAAAAAAAAAAAAAAAAAAAAAAGATGCTTGACCTCACTGGTAATTAGGGACATGCAAATTAAAACCACAGGAAGATAGCCCTTCTGCTATGGCTTGAATGCAGCCCCCAAAGTTCATGTGCTGGGAACCTGATTCCCAATGTGGCAGTATTGGGAGGTAGGGCCTAATGGGAGGTGTCTGATTCATGGGGGCACCACCCTTATGAATAGATTAATGCCCTTATTGTGAGAGTGGTTCATAATCAAGGGAGTGGGTTCCTTACAAGTGGAAGAGTTTGGCCCCTTCCTGCTCTCTCAGCCATGAGATGATGCAGCAAGCAGGTCCTTACCAGTTGCTGGCACCTTAATCCTGGATTTCCCAGCTTCCAGAACCTGTGAGCTACTAAGTTTCTGTTCATTATAAATGACTTGGTTTGTGGTGTTCTATTGCATCAGCACAAAATGGGCTAAGACACTTTCCTACCCATCAGATTGGCAAAAACTTTGAAAGTCTGATAATGTCAAGTGTTAACAAGGATTAGAACAAGAACTCATGTGAACTGCTAGTAGGAGTAAATTAGCACAATCACTTCAGAAAACAATTAACCATCATCTAATAAAGCTAAAGTTGACCATATATATCCTATAACTTACCAGTTTCAATCAAGATATACACCTGAAAAAAACTTACATGTATTGAAGATATCTTAAATATCCTTTATTAATAAATGGGTAAATTAAATATTCATGCAATGCATACAGAAGTGAAAATAATGAACCACCTAACATACAGTAACGCACAGTAATATGACTGAATCGCGTAAGTTTTTTTTAAAAAAAGCAAATCTCAACCGGGCACAGCGGCTCACACCTGTAATCCCAGCACTTTGGGAGGCCGGTGTGGGTGAATCACCTAAGGTCTGGAGTTCGAGACCAGCCTGGCCAACATGGTGAACCCCTGTCTCTACTAAAAACACAAACATTAGCTAGGCATGGTGGTGGACGCCTGTAACCCCAGGTACTCGTGAGGCTGAGGCTGGAGAATCACTTGAACTTTTGGGGGTGTGGGGCGGGAAGGAAAGAGGTTGCAGTGAGCCAAGATCCTGCCACTTCACTCCAGCCTAAGCAAAAGGGCAAAACTCCATCTCAAAAAAAAAAAAAAAACAAAAACCAAAAGCAAGTTTCAGAAGAATCACTGAATTTACATATAGATCAAATTCCATTTACATAGACTTCAAAAATATGCAAAACCAAACAATGGATTGTTTGGAGCTTCAAATCTATGTGATAAGAACCATAAAGAAAACAAGCAGAGAAAAAAATAGAAAATAAAACAAGGAAGTAATAAACATAACATTTTGGAATCCTGGTTACCTAAGGGGTGGAAAATAAGAATGGGATATGAAGGAGTACAGAAAGAACTTCAAAGGATAAAGTTTTATTTCTCATCCTGGGTGGTAAGAATGTG